CTCTCTTACTCTCTTACTCTCTCTCTCTCTCTCTCTCTCTCTCTCTCTCTCTCTCTCTCTCTCTCTCTCTCCTCATCTCACCGTCTCTCCCTTCCACCACTTGGCAAATAACTAACCCTTCACCCCTCACTTGTTACATTGCCAGGGAACGAACGGTGAAAAAAACTTGTCCTCACTTGGCGGAGAAAGTGGGCAAAGGGGGGGCTGTTGGTCCCTTGTGTCGCCGAGAAGGAGAAGAAAGGAAAAGACATGCAAGCAATTGAGAAAGGTCAAGTCCGGAAAAAGGGCTAGTTGGTGTTTGAAGCGAGGTCTGTTTTGACTCGACCATTCCCCCGATTGCATGACTACGAGAAGAGGGTGGACTGATTGGGCAAAGGAAGGAGATCAAAGAGAAGCCAAAGAAAAAGGAAAAGTTAGGCATGCGGGAAGGGCTATGTGTTAACCCCAATGGGGGATTGTGTTGGACTTTGCTTTTGTGTGGGATTGTGCAGGTAAGTAAAGGCTTGGGCTGCCTTGAGCGGGAGAGGGCTGGCAGAGTCTGGGCGACAAAGGAAAAGGGAAGAGGGGCAAAGGGGCTATGGGGTCCTTAGTGTAAAACCGAACCATGAGAGTGACCTGTGTGCATGAGACTTGGAGTGTGAATGAAAGAAGGAAGTGCGACTTTTGCTGATCGGAATGTGAAGTAGCTTGTGCATGCGTGTGAAGCCCCGAAAAGACTAAGGGGCCTGCTCCAATAATGACGGATGGAATGTATGAGACTCGAGGGGTGCGTAGAGGCGAGGGGGAAGACGACATTGTCGCACCCCGATGACGCCGTAGGATTGCAATGCTTAGGGAAATGGTGCGTGGCCTAAGGATGATGCTTAGTCTGCGCACAAGAGAAGAAGAACTCTCAAAGAACCCTTGGACTGCCTGAGTATTGGAAGGAGCATTTGCTTGAGAACACAACCAAGAATCAAGAAAAAAATCAGCGTTTGCAGAATGACCAGCGAGACTACCACCCGGCGTGAGGGTTGAGCTACATCCCCAATGTCAAATCTCTCTCGCGCGATGGCCCGACCCCATCCATCTCAAAGCACTAGGTGGGGGTGACCCTGGGACGAACGGCCCGCGCCCTGAGCATGCGCGTGGGCGGGCCGAGCCAACTGGGACCCGCAGAGGGTCGACCAAGGCTCGAAAGTCTAATGGGGTTTGGCCCTACAAAATTGGTGGAGGTGTCGGGTAGTGGGTTAAACTGACCCTGGCGATTCCGAGGGGGGGGGGCGCCCTACGCAAGACCGTGTACACAACCAAAGATAAGGAAATTGGACTCGTGCTTGTTCTTTCCTTTGAGAGAATCAAATTTGAGAGTGGCAGGGCGCATGGCATGGCCAGGCCTGGAGGTATAACATGCATGATGTGCACTTGACTAGCCATCTCCTTGGGAAATGGCTCTAACCCTCCTTCCTCCCGGTGCTGGTGTTCACCAGTCCGGTGAAGCCTTGGGCAAGTCGCAGGTCGACCCTTCCTCTTCGTGTGAGAGAAGGACTCCGGTTACCTGGGAGGCAGTTGGTCCTTCGGCTTCGGCCGGGGTCAAATGAAAATCCCGCGGCGGAGTGATCCGGCCGAGTGGGTGCCCTCCTCTCTTCTTCTTTGAGCCCAGTGGGCTCATGCACTATACACTTGAAATGCTTGAGGGAACCTACATGAACACAACGGGTCATCAAGAAGGAACAATAATGCCCTATGAAAGGACAGAGAAACGAAGATAAAGGGAATGAAGGGAGTTGCTAGACTCCTAAGAAAAATAGCTCACCCTTGAAGACGCTCACAAGAAGGAACCAACCACTATGTAAGGAAGTAAGGGGAGTGACACTCATTGTCCTGAGAGAAAATTGTGAGTTATGGGTAAGAAACGTTGGGTGCACTAAGGGAAAGGCACTTGTACTATGTGTGTCTCACTTGGGACTAGTGATTTGCATGAAGGGAATTGAGAATCCTGCCTTTTGGAAGGAAAGGATGGGTTTGCACCAGCTGGTGCGGGATGGTGAAACGTCGTTCTTTTGTAGTGCCGCCGGTTCTCATATACGGAGGTCGGACCACCAAGCTGTCGGACAGGAGTTGGTCTCGCCGATTGATTAGTAGCACTCTCTCCCGGGCGGACCGAGCATGGCTCGACACCTTGCCCAGGCGGGATGCGAAACGTCTCCTCAGGCGGGCCTTAGCTTGCCGGCTGGCGGAGGGGGACCACTGCGTGTGAGGCAAGGAGGGAGCCTCAGAGACGATTAGTAGCTTCCCGTAGTATGGTTTGGGAAAGGCTGATTCTTGTCGGACCGATGGAAGTGAATGCCCGGACGGCTGACTATTACTCCTAACGGGATGCGCGG